AACAGGGAAAATTATAAAACAGAAATGTTACTCTATCTTAGATTCTTTCAAGTAATACTGAAACAGTAACACAAATAATGAAATCTTCACAATTTGTAAGGCAAGGATCCACCTTTGAAATGATTATTTCATAATTAACTGATTGAAATCTATTTATAAAAGTTAAAATGTGCCCACTGCCATTTAGAACTGGAACATACCTTAGATATAACCTAATATAATAACTTAACTTCACAAAAAATGAAACAGAGGGCAAGAAAAGTTCAAGAGATTATTTAAAATCCCAAAACCAGTTAATGAAAGACCCCAGATAGCCTGGCTTCTAGTGCAGCAAGCATTTCTCAACAGCTAACTGTGATCAAAGGCATTTGACATTTTGTGTGTTTTGTGTCTTTGAAGGAAATGGATGAAGTATCTAGCTTCCTCCAAAGTTCTGATCAGGAGTGTGAATCAAACAGCTTGAACTTTCCTCCTTTTACTCCCAGTAAGTGCTCCCCTGTTTGCTGACGATGTAGACACAGACGTGTTTGAAACAACCTCAATAGAACTCAATGTAATCAAGAGTGACTTCCCTCCCAGGCCAAGGGCCCCCCAGGCATACTGAACACTCCTCTATCTGAGTCTCTGTGACACTGTTTGCTCTCTGATGACCTTTTGGCTGTAGTCATCCAAGGGCCAGTGTGTGGTGACAATTGCTAGCCCGAGCCGGGCTCCCTCCCCTGGCTGACCCTCCAGTCTCCAGTTCAGAATTCTTTCATGCTGGTCACTTTTCCAAAGCCCTCAGGTGGTTCAAGTTTAAAATTCACGAGAATTTCGGAATACTTTAAGGTACAAACTACCTTACACTGAAGTAAATCTGTACTTCTGTTAACGTTTTTCTTTCTTCTTTCCTTTCTTTCTTTTTTCCTTCTTTCCTTCCTTTCTCCTCCTCTCAATCCTTCCCTTCCTTCCTCTTTCTTTCTTCCTTCTTCCATTTCTCCCTTTTCTCTCTCTCTCCCTCCTCATTTGCAACAGTTTAAAGCATCAATGATTCCTTAAAGGTCCTATTTATGTCCCGTTTCTAGTCAAGGTGAACTCTCCAGTCCCTGATTTTGAAAGAGGGAGAGAGAGAATGGGGGCAGGGGGTAGAAAATATAAACTAGACTATGCTTTGACAGCAAATAAACCACCATATCTCGGTGGACTAACACAATAAAAATTCATTTTTTGCTCACATTGTACCTAGTGAGGGACAGGTGGCTTGAATCCAAGTGGTGACTCAGATCTAGTTTCTTCCACCATCTCCCATCTGACAGACCTTTCTATCCAGCTTTATGGGTGAAGGAGAACATGGAGGGAGTTTTATGGGCAGGTTTGGAAGGGTGGTGTTCCCAATGTGCCCACGTTCCTTTGCCAGAAGAGGTCACATAGCCTCAGCTTAATATTAATAACTTCATGGGAAAGTGTAACCTTCAAGTATAACCTTCTTACACTCCCATGAAGAGAACACTGGCGTGGTGGGCACCTGGGCAGTCTCTGCCAGCTTATTCTGGTTTGTTTGCTTTACTTACACCCCTGCCTGAGACCAAGGCTTAGCTGTTTCCTTAGCCGCTTTTGGTTGCTGGAGGAGTGCAGAATGTTTTGGAGGGAGTCTGGACTTCAAACCATTTAACCTCTTGCAAAATCTACTGTTTGCTTCTTCAACGTATTTTTTGTTCTTCTCCGCTTCATCTGTATTCCTCCATTTTTTTTCACTCCAGGTCAGTTTATCATTTTTTTCTTAATCTCTTTATCTTCTTCTTGGCCAAAACTAAGTTTTATTTTTGACTTTTTGCTTTACTTTGTATTTTCCTACAGAAAACCTCTATCCCATCACCTGCTTGCTTCTAGCCAGTGCCTCACTCCCTTGGGGCCGGCATTCTGTCTACCCTGACATGACCTGCCACTGTCCATTACAGCAGCGGGGCAGCCTCTTACCCTTCCGGGATTGCACAGTGCACAATAGCATGGTTGAGATCAGTTAAATGGTTGTGAATCTCCTCCCACAAAGCAAGCTGGGCAAGAATACAGTCTTCTTTATGTTTTATAATAAAACTTAATTTCTGACTCCAAACCTTGATTCTGTTAGGAGGGTGGGAAAAACCCGACCTCAGTCCTCACTGGTTCTACCACTTTCTGGAATTGTCCTTCATGCTAAGGTCCTGTGAAGGATCAAGGCTTGGTGAAGAAAGGCAGATATGGCCCCAGGGGTGCACAGGGAGAGGAAGAGGCAGAAAAGTTGATCATTTTAGGTTTGAGAAAAGGAAAATACGGTAACAAAGGGAATTCCCAGAAGCAGCATCTGAGTTTTAATTTATAAAATCACCCACATCTCATATCTCATTTTTTAAAAAGTTTGTGACTAGGGTCTGTGTTATAAAAATGAAAATATTCCCTTTCACTGCACTCATATCTACACATTTTATACTCAATTTTTCTTGATTAATAAATATAAACATTATGTGCTTTATATTTAATCTCAGATCAACTTCCCATTGCTCTGAGCATGTTTCTCAGTTGCTGCCAGTCACCTACCATTCTTTGTGAGCTCAAGGGAATGCAAATTAATTTTAATGATTCATCTCCCATAGCAGGCTCAGTGCAGGCCCCAGGTAGGAAGTAGCATTTAGGATAGAGTTTAAAATCTGGAAAGGATTGTGTCAGGTGGAGATTGGTGGGGAAGGCACAGTAACCGGGAAGAAAAGAATTGGCTGGCTACTTTGTTAAAGTTGTCTGATGGAGAAGTTCCTCACTGATGGGTATTTTCCTCTAGGTGTTCTAGACCACTTGCTTTTTTCAAGAACCCTCTGCATGGACACAGAGTTCCACTGGGGTCTTCACTATGATGTCCACAGCTTATATGGATACACCATGGCAAGAGCCACAGACTCGTAAGGACTTGGTTTTCCCCCTGATTCCAGATTTGGGAAGGTGGGAGGTGAAGGGTTTCTTTGCTCTTCTGTAAGTACATTGTTCAAATGTTCAAATGCTGGTCTTTCAGGGTATTTAAGAGGTCCTCTCATACAAATCTTTGGTTTCTATATAGGATTAGTTTTGGTGCACTTATGGCTAAGGGGCTTCATTATTTTGAGGACAGACACTAGGAGGCAATGCTATATAAGACATTTAGAGTCCCCTACTGAGAGAAGGCAGCCCTTGCTTGGGTCCCTTTACTGAATATGCTATGGTCGCCACACTAGGATTGCTTGATTTTAGCAAATAAAAACACAGGATACCAAGTTAAATTTGCATGGGGCACACTTATACTAAAAATTATTCATTGTTTATTTGAAATTCAAATTTACCTGGATGTCCTGTTTTTATTTGGCAATGCTTCATCACACCCTGCTAGCTTCTCTCCCAATGTTCTTTTCTTTTCCCTCTCAATTCTCCCCTCTGCCCCGAGACACACCTACATACATGCATGCACACACACACACACACACACACACACACACAACCCTGCCACCACCACCATCACCACCAGCCATTATGAAAGTCTAACAAGGAGACAAATGTGTCCTGTGAAGCATCACACCCTTTTCATATCTTCTCACATGGGCTTTCTGTGGTTGTTGTTTACTTATGACTTTGTAAATTGAGGCATAGCTGTCCCCCTCGCTGCCAAGTTTCTTCTTCGCAAGATAGTAAAATACAATCATTATACCTAAAAGAGAAAAACTTGGAGGCTAAGCTTAAGATTTTAATTTTAGATTTGCAGCACAAATGGGGGAACTAAAGCGTCTGAAGAACTACTGGGGATCTTCCAGCAGCATAGGAAAGAATGTCCTGGCCTTTCTCCGCCTCTCTCCTACTGTCGTGGGATTTATGAAACTTCGTGGTGGGAATGAGGGTCAGGGAGACTTTGATGTGCTCATGGGACCTGCCTCAGGCCTTTTCTTACTCGACTTCTCTGTCCCTGTGGAAGTCAAGGTCATGAGCAGTCCTCAGAACTTGGCTCCTTCAGTCCTTGAACAGGCTCCACCCGCTCCTGCTCTCTCTCCAGCCATCCCTCTCACCTCTGGGTCTGGGTCTTTTCTGTCTGGTCTTTCACTGTTGATGAGCCTTAGGGGTTAATCCTCGGGCTTCTTCTCTTCATTCTATGCCAGCACATAGGTAGTTTATCCCTTTTCACAGTTTTTACTGTAATTTATTCTAGTGATTTTAAAATCTATAATTCTAGCTGAGGTCTTTCTGTAATTTTTGGACACAAACATTCAAAACTATATTCTGACTTTCCTGCTTGGATGTTTAATAGTACCTCAAACACCATTCGCCTTGCTCAGTTACCTAATTTCGCTTAACCTCCGCACCCTGGCTATTTTTTGACACTCTTAACTCCCCTGTCTTGGTTGGTAGCAAGCAAGTCTGAGAGCATCCCTAGCTCTCAGACTCCTGAGTGAGAAACTTGGCATCATCCTTTCACACCCTCAAATGCAATCAGTCCTCGATTCTTTTGGTTCTACTTTTGAAACATTTCTATAACCCCCTCTCTTTTTTTCCTTAACTTAGGTCATCCTCATCTCTCACATAAATAGTTGCACGAGGCCCGTGACTAGTCTCCCGACTTTAGCCTTATCTCCCAATAATCCACCCTCCACACCTTCTACTCATGTGTGGCCCAAGGACCAGCAACACCAGCATCACCAGGAAACGTGTTACAAGTGCAGCATCTTAGGCCTCAATCCAGACCTTGGAAATCAAAATCTGCGTTTTAACTAGATCCCTGGGTCTGCTGAATGTATTGAATGCATGTTAAGATTTAGAAAGCTCTACTCTACACTGCTGACAAAGTGATGTTTCTAAAGCACAGGTTTGCTTATTTCTCCTCCCAGTGTAAAATTATTTGTTGCTTGCTATTTTCTGTACAATAAAATCCAGTTGCCTTAGCATGAGCCGTAAGCTATTTCATAACCTCACCCTTTCTTACAATTTTTCTCTCATCTTTGCTGCTGCTTGTGCTTTATGCTCTGATGATATATAGCTACTTGTTCCCAAATCCAGATTCTATTCAATGTTCCATATTTCCATGTACTGTGTGCCCTTCACAAGATGGCCTTCCTTGCCCTGTCTGTCTTGCAAACATATATAATTATTCATAATTATATGTTCTAGGAAAAAATTATTTTCCTTTTTTGTGGTATATTTGCTCATATTCCAATATGTTTAATATGTAAAAATATTGTATCAATTCTGAGATGCTCATTTTTTTTCATTACTGGACTGTAAGTTTTGTGAGGGCAAAGTCACCCCTATATTCTTAGTCTTGTGAATAGTGTGTGTCCTGCAGGCATTTTGTTGGATTAATGCCTGGCCTGAGAGGATGGGCACAGAGGGACCTGGAGACTTAGAGACAGAGACTGTGTCTACTTTGTTTTCCAGCACGATTTTGCCCTCATGACTTTTCATTATGTTGGATTGTCTAGTTGAAAGGGAGTTCTTGTCCAGTAAATGTAAAAGTTTGTATTTCAGTAAAAGAAAATGTCTAAGGAGAAGGACACATATTTCTGATTTATCTTCTCTTTTCTGACTTCTCTCTCTCTCTCTCCCATTCTCATTCTACCTTTCCTGGGAAATAAACTAGATGGATAAGACTCAGTTTTGTCATCTCTGAAATGAGAGTCTTGGATTGATGTTTCCATAAACTCTTCCTGTTCTGCTACATTTTGATTCTCTTGATGCTTCTATCTAAGAATGGGGAGTGGAAAGGAGAGTGAATAAATGGTCAGGGAAAGAAAGAGTAAGGAAGGGTTGGAGGAGGGAAAGAGAGTTTTGAGTTGGCTTATTGGCCAGTGTCTCCAGTTCATAAAAGTGCTATAAAATCATGAATAGACTGGTTGGTATATTCTACTAATTATGATTAATAGTTAAAAGGTGACTATGACTGAGTAAGCAGAAGGTGCCTTTCTAACTTCTCTGGATCAGGAAGGATGGCTTAAGTTCCCAGAGAACAGTGGAGATAAGTGAAACTTGGCCCTTGGGCATGAGGCAGAGTTGGGTTAGAAAGCAGATAATATTTTCATTCAGTGGGGTCTGGACATCAGGAGAACTGAAGCCATAGGTTTGATGAATATTTGGCTCAGCCTTAACTAGAAGTATAATTTGGGGACAGTGGTTACTGGGCTAACTAGGGAATAATACTCATCTTCCTCTAGGCTGAGAGCAGAAGGAGATTAGGTCCTCTCAGAGATCATGACCTGATCATAAATTGGCCAGACATGGGGAATGAGAAAGAGAAACCTAAGACTTTTCCTTTAACTTGGAAAAAACCTGACAGTTATCTAATCTGTTTTACCATAATGGCCTCTAAGTAAACTGTAACCACAGATACTTTCATCTCTGTTTTGGTTCCACTCTATATAAACTGATTGTGTTTCTTTATGATTGGTGATTGCAGAGTGCAATAGAGCTCCAGCCAGTGGTAATAAAATCACAGTGTCTCGGTCCATATCAAAAGAGAACTGAGGACAGGAGGTGAGGAGTGAGTCCTCTCCTCCAACCTATCCTGGTTTTTTTTGTCAATAAATTGTCAGAATGGAATGCTTCACTCTCTTAAACCAATCTTCTCTTTTAGAATTTTTTTCCCTTTTGCCATTATAAATCGTTCTGCATTTGTAGATGCTCCCTAACATCCCCTGTGACTATGAAGTGGGGAGGAATTCATGGCTGTGATAGTGTCTTGAGCAATTGCCTGGTGCCTGGTGATAAAGATTTGTAAAGAGTGTTTTTAGGAAAAGATACACTTGTCTCAGACTATGTATTGAAGTAAAAAGAAAGAAAGAAAGAAGAGCTTGCCTGCAAAGACCTTGCAGCAATGGTGGCTTAGGTCTTACCTTCCTGTAGTTGTGTTATTGTTCTATTATACAATTCTAATAGAAGGTGTGGATTGTTTAGCATAAAAAAAGGGAGGGAGGGCCGGGCGCGGTGGCTCACGCCTGTAATCCTAGCTCTCTGGGAGGCTGAGGCGGGTGGATTGTTTGAGCTCAGGAGTTCGAAACCAGCCTGAGCAAGAGCGAGACCCCGTCTCTACTAAAAATAGAAAGAAATTAATTGGACAA